CAAAGGAATTTGCACGGAAATGTTTTCAAGACAACTTTTTTTAATAGGAAAAAAATAAACAAATTGTGAATTGCAACAGAAATGTGCAAAACTGACTTTAAAGATTGGGGGAAATGAGAAATTGGGCGGACCAAAATTGGTAGATTTGTCCATATCTACTTAGGAAAGACCCGTATCTCTAGAGACTCAGGTCAAGGAAAGAGATTTAATGAAGCCTATAAGTGTTTTGGGCTATACCTGTTTCCCTCAGTGATGAGCGGCTTCTCTGGGTGTGTGGTAGATACCAGCGGCACTGCAAAGTCATGTGAAGCTTCTCCCGTTCCCTCATGCAGAAGAGGGGTACCTTCCTCCTCCTCTCCCTCATGACCTTTCTTCTTGCTCCCAGCTCCAGGTGACACTCCATCAATAACATTGCCAAAATTCCCTAGAGGTACAAACCAAATATGGGAGAGGGGTAACAGAATTAGGCTACATCCAGGACGAAAGCGTTTAAACACAACCGGACAGCCAAAATGTTGCCAGCACATAAAGATAGAAAGGTTAGGTTGTTTTGGAGGAAATACCATTTGAAAATAGGATTAATGATTTACAGTATATGGATCAAGAAAGGAAGCTTAATTCTATTTGATTAATTGGGAAAATTAATTGGGTAAATGTCTAAACAGGAATTGAACATGCACGGTCGATGGAAATAGGAATGGATGGGAAAGTCTTAGAAATTAAGAAATTAGAAATTAAGAAAAAGTATTTTACTGTGAGCAGCAAAAGGAAGCATCTCAATAGTCAATAGTTAAGTTGGTCTTAATTTTAAATTTGGAAAATTAATTAAAAAATCAATTGGGGGGAAATAATAATAAACACAACCAGATTATAACTACGGTAGATCTTTTCCACACACAAGATACTATGGATAATGTTTGAGTTTTGAATTCTTAAAAGTTGTCCTCTTGTTGACCCTGTTTCTGAAGACTCCTCCTATACAACATCCTTGATGGTCTTAAAAGAGAATTAGACAAGTTCATCAGTGGCTACCAGCCACAATGGCTATGGCCTACCTTCGCTGTCAGAGGCAGCCAATTTCCGGGAATCACAGGTGAGGAGAATGCTATAGGAAACCAGGTCTTTGTTCTGGCTTCCTATAGGATTCTGGTTGGCCACAGGGAGAACAAGCTTGTGGATTAGGTGAGCCTTTGGCCTGATCCAGCAGGACTCTTCTCGTGCTCAAAGATTTTATTACTCTTTGCTGTGCAAATACACAAAGGAAGTCCTTTCTTGGCCAGCCTCTCCCAAGTCCATGCTTGAGTAAATATTAGACACCGCCTTGTTTACTAAGGAGGCCTTTCCTTATCAGAAAAAAACACTCTGTTCTTGAACATGGAGAATGATAAAGGTGTTACCGCAGCTACTGCATACAAACAGGGAGGGATAGCCCAGGTCAAGCAAGGCAGGGTCAAAGTAGAGACATGTAAGAACTTCCCTGTGGTTTAATGACCTGTTGGAGTCTTCCTTAAGTCTGCTTTCTGGTCTTAAATAGAAGTTAGGATGTTCATCTGTAATGCCTGCCTTATTTGTTGTTGTTTAGTCATTTAGTCGTGTCCGACTCTTCGTGACCCCATGGACCAGAGCACGCCAGGCACTCCTGTCTTCCACTGTCTCCCACAGTTTGGTCAAACTCATGTTAATATCTTCAAGAACACTGTCCAACCATCTCGTCCTCTGTTGTCCCCTTCTCCTTGTGCCCTCCATCTTTCACAACATCAGAGTCTTTTCCTGGGAGTCTTCTCTTCTCATGAGGTGGCCAAAGTCTTGGAGCTTCAGCTTCACGATCTGTCCTTCCAGTGAACACTCAGGGCTGATTTCCTTAAGAATGGATATGTTTGATCTTCTTGCAGTCCATGGGACTCTCAAGAGTCTCCTCCAGCACCATAATTCAAAAGCATCAATTCTTCGGTGATCAGCCTACTTTATGGTCCAGCTCTCACTTCCATACATCACTACTGGGAAAACCATAGCCTTATAGTGGTGCAAAAGCTAATAAAATCACTATTAGAGGGCAGATATAATGACATCCCAGTTGAACAGAGATGATGCCTGTGCAACTCTGATGAGATTAAAACCATTGGACATGTTCTTCTATACTATCTGTTGTATTGCGATACCCAAAGAGAGCTAATTCAACCACTACTAAGGAAATTACGGTACCTGGCTGCTCAGGAAACCTATGTTAAATATCTGCTTGCTGACAACAATCTGAATATCACCAGGCCTGTAGAGAAATTCGGTTTTATGGCAATGGGACAAGACAGGCTGCGATGACAATGATGGCTGATGAATGAGCACTGAATTTAAACTTTGGAACACAGATTTTACTTGAAGGGGTGATATTTTTAATGTAAATAAGTTTATAGGAAATTTCTAATTACGTCCACCTCTTGATACGGATGAAGCGTATGTTTCTGTTGCTAATTTTGCTGTCTGGTCTTTGACCGCAATAAAGATGGATTGATTGAATAAAGTAACCTGCTGAAAGTTGTGCAGATTTTTTGGTTTGCCTATTGTGCTACAGTTTGAGAACAACCTGACCTAGGAGGAAAACCAGGATATCAGAGCGCGTTTAATGTTCCTACTTTCCTATTTATGACTGAGAAATGGCACCTGCAATTTAAAAAAATGCAAAACCTTTTCTGACTAGGAAGTGTATTTGATTTCTCTTCAGAGTTCTGACTTGCAAAAGAGAGTGAGACAAAGGCAATATGCTTTGTAACACATTGCATGCTCACAGTTTTCATATACTATTTCTTAAAAAAGAGCAAAATGAAATAATTCCCTGAGAAATGTCACTTATGCTGTTTAATTTTTTTAAATCTTCCTCAGAATTCCCAGATACGCCTCACCAGAGAAGGCACTTCCAAATTCACCCCAGCAGAGTACATTAGCAACCTAGTTTCCTGGGATAGCTCAGTCAACAGAGCATAAGACTCTTAATCTGAAGGTCATGGGTTCGAGTCCCTGCATTGCAGGGGGTCAGACTAGATAACCCTTAGGATACCTTCCAACTCTACAATTCTATGATTCCTAACATGTGCCAAATATTGAGGATGCCTCCAGACTGTCATTATTTTGCAGGAGGGATTCAAGAGTGTGCCACAAAATTTAGGTTTGCGTATTTACAGTGCATCAAAGTACTCTGTTATCCCTGCACAACAAATCCGCTTTTTAAAAGAATCAGACATCTTTGCAGTTAGGAAAGTGACAAGGAAATGCATTGAAAAGTGTGGAACGAATGGATGTTTAACAGAAAGGTATATAAACACGATGCAAGCAAATTAGGGCAAGTACTCAATGTCGTATAATCTGCATGCAAACAAATGGGAATAACTGATCAGTAAAGACTGGATACAATCTAAGCTCCATGTAAGCTTTGTGCAAGCAAAGCAGGAGGAAAGCTCAATAAATAGGTCATCTGGGAGGAGCCCTTTGAAATGCCCCTAGAAATGACATCATTTTTGGTTTTCTCAAAATTCCCACAGAGATTTCACTTGAACAGGGTCCTCTAAGTTCACTTTGAATTTTGCTACTGGAATAATATAGTGGCAAGTCTACCTTTGATGTTGGAGAACATGAATTTAAACTAATAGCTGTAGGAGAGCTTTTATCCGTCCATTATGACTGGGATACAAAAATCAGCAAGGTAAAGTTGCTGAGTTATTTGACTGTTATGTATTCAGTGGTCTGTGTTTGCCTGAGCTTGAATCTGGACTAAGGATTCTGAGCTCCTCTGATCTGATTCGATACATGATGTCCAATCACAGAACATTTCAAGATTTGGGCCTCTGCCATTGGCCCTTGAACTCTGAGTCGTGATTCGCAGCTTGGAAGTTTAGACAGCCAATCACATTGGGAGTGGGAGTGGCCCAGGCTTTCAGGAAGGTATATAAGCAGTTGCTTTGCCCCTGTTTCCCAGTTATGGAGTTCAATAAAGGTTCTTGCTGTTATCGCTGTGTTGTGCCTTGTGGGAACCCACCTACAGTTCCATGACCCTCTTGCTCACAGAATTTAGTACACCCATCTGTATTTCCCACCACTGAAGATCCAACATCCTTATTCTGCTTTGTGGCAATACTGGCCCAGAGCTTGAAAGAGGAGAAGCTGAGCTGATGTGGTGCCAGTTTACACCAGATCCTCTAAATAATAATAATAATAATAATAATAATAATAATAATAATTTCCCCCCGGCCCACAAGCGCAGTCAGATCAAGCAGTTTGATAGCAACATCAGCTTGTAGATTCTCAACCATATCACCACCACCTCCTGTTTTTTTGTATGCCACTTTCCCACAAAACTGTGGCCAAAGTGGTTTACAACATATCAAGCGAACAATTTAAGCATAACAATTCAAATATATATGTATGTATGCATGTATATGTAAATATGTATATAATAAAAAGGTAAAGGACCCATGACAGTTAAGTCCAGTCACAGACGACTCTGGGGTTGCGGCGCTCATCTCGCTTTACTGGCCGAGGGAGCCGGCATTTGTCCGCAGACAGTTTTTCCGGGTCATGTGGCCACCATAACTAAGCCACTTCTGGCACATGGAAACGCCATTTACCTTCCCGCCGGTGCAGTACCTATTTATCTATTTGCACTTTGACGTGCTTTCAAACTGCTAGGTTGGCAGGAGCTGGGACCGAACAACGGGAGCTCATCCCGCCGTGGGGATTCGAACCGCCGGCCTTCTGACCAGCAAGCCCTAGGCTCAGTGGTTTAGACCACAGCACCACCCGTGTCCCCATGTATATAATAAACAATTATAAATAATAATATCAATAAATACATACCCACAAAATCAACACATACAAGTTTTGAATCAAACACTACAAATAAATAAAGCAATCTAAAACTTAGCAGCTTAAAACTGAACAGGAGAGAGAATAATACCTGACACAGAAATAAAGGAGTAGAAATAACAACATCCACACACACCAGATAATGCATCTATTTCCAGTCGTTTGGATCCAAAACTCAGCCGTCCAAACAGTGTGGACACTCTCCACTCTGGCTTTCATCCAGAAGGACCTTATGGCCACTATTATCATGGGCTCTCATTCCACACAGAAGATCGTAGCTTTCCTCCTACATTCTCCCTCAAATCAGCAGACATTCATCCAGCCTGGAGGTCCTAAACCAAGTTTTTTTTGGGGGGGAGGACCCTTGGCTTTGTGGTGACTTTATAGCCTTTTCTCCAAATTAAAGATAAGGGTAACAGTGGAGAAACACACAAGGAACACCCCACACACACTTACCAACAGACACCTCAAAGCTTATTGGTTTATCTCCAACCTTCCTATCGATCATCGTAGCTTCAAAAAAGGCCCCAAAGAGAAGGAATTCCTCAAACTGCTCCTCATGGATCTGGTAGCAGGTTAAAAGAAAGAAAGAAAGAGAGAAAGAGAGAAAGAGAGAAAGAGAGAAAGAAAGAGAGAGAGAGAGAGAGAGAGAGAGAGAGAGAGAGAGAGAGGTGGGCAGAAAAAAGAACAAAGTTGATTTATTGCACATACAGCTCTCTGTGAGGGCAAGCATTGGCTCAAATAAAGAGGAACTTAGAAGAGCTGTATCCATTTTAGTCTTGCATCATGTCAAATTTCTGAGCAGGTTTAATCTGATGCTGTCTTGAATCGACTGCCCACTCTGATGGCTGAATTTGTGTTAACCATAAGCAAATGCCTATCAAAGGTAACTTCTGGCCGGTTCAGATTGTGGCTGTCAGCTTTTGCCATTCACTACCTTGCACAACATGTCCTCGACCAGAGGCTTCTGGTCTTTTAAGAAATAATGCACTCTGGGAATTTGTGTTTCATGTGAATGCTGTGAACTGTGAAAGATCCTCTGACTCTTTATAGGGTCGGCAAACTTTTCCAGCAGGGGGCAGTCCACTGTCCCTCAGACCTTGTGGGGGACTGGACTATATTTTTTTGGTGGGGGAAATATGATGCAAGAGCACCATGAGCCCCAGTGGCTGCTTACCTGTGTCTTGCGAGTGGCAGGGGCTGGTGGCGGCGGCCGGACAATGAGCGGCACATGAAAGGACTCCGGAGATGGGCTGCTTAAAATGGCGGCCACTCAAGCGCTGCTGCTGCTGGCCCCAACAAAGCCCAGCCCCCTTCCTCCTCTAGGCAGGGCGGGGAGAAGCCAGGAGGAGGGAGGGAGGAGGCACCAGCACCGTGTGAGGGAGAGGGAAAGAACGCATGCACACTGGTGATCCACGCAGCGATTCCCGGACCATCCATGGGCCGGATCCAGAAGGCAATTGGGCCTGATCTGGCCCACAGGCCTTAGTTTGCCTCCCCATGCTTTATAGAGCTACACAGGCCAGGGATCTGTGGGGTGAGGGAGACGCTGTGGTTTCTAAACCAGACAGGCCATAAGCAAGGTAGGGAACCCATAGTTCTACAGATGATGTGGACTACCATAATCCCAAGCCCTTGGCCATGCTGGCTGGGACCGATGGGAGTTAGCGTCCCATAACATATGGAGGACCACAGCCTATGGGCCAACCTTGTAAATGAGATCCACTTTTCAAATTGAGCATCTTTTAAGAAAATTTACCTCAGGCAGTACATCAAAAGGCTCCACCTCCACATCTGTTGAGTTTGTTTTATCTGAAGGGGAAGGTTTTCCATCTTCAGCTCCTTTGTCTTTGTCTTTTCCCGATCCTTTTGAGCCTTTGGAGTCTTTGTCCTTGGAAGGTAGCTTTATTTCCTTGATCATCTTTGAAAACTTTGATTCGTGGGCTCCCCCAGAGAGGATCTCCACTGCGAGCTCGATCAAGAGCCGTCCCCTGAAAGAGACACCTTCGCCGTAACCTTCATTGAGCTCTTGGTGGTCGTCCATCAGGGTGTGGTTCCTGGGGGAACCGTAAAGATTGATCCAAGCAGGCCCAAAGGTAGGCAAGAACCCTGAAGAAGACATATATGCAACAAACGTCAAAGGAATGTCAAAGGAACGTCAAAGGCAGGGATCTGTATACCAGCTGCTCAAAGAGGCAAATTCCTGCACTTACTCACTATTAAAATTACACATGGAGATTTAACTCTTCTTCAATAGTTGGTGTCAAATGCGCCCCAATAGTGTCAAAAAGAATAACAAAACATTTATGCAAGGTTTTTTGTTTTGTTTTTTACAACTCAATATTCCAGAGATTCCTCAAACAAAATGTGATTTGGTATTATTATTATTATTTATTAGAGTTTATAAAGAGAAATGAAAAACTTTTTTTATTTGGTTCAAACTAAAACATTAATCCAGAGGCAAAAAAGAGAAAGAGAAGAGGGGAGAGAGGGAGCAAGAGATAAAGAAAAAGAAATAGAAAAGTAATTAAAAGAAAGAAACAGAGAGAGAAAGTTAAGAAGCTGTACGTAAACATTATTCACTTCATCCACACCAGTGTAACACCCAATAAAGCCACTTTCTAGAAACGATTTATCTTCAACCCTCAAATCCAAATGTCATTATTTCACAAAACGTGATTTGTATTGCCACGTGCTGTTACAAGCCCTCCATCCTAACTTTGGTGAAAACAGGATGTGTTTATTCTGCAAACCACCTCCCAAAACAATGAAATGATATAAAGAAGAGTTGGCCTTCAGAAGCTGGCTCTTTCTGAAAGGCTTTACTGCCCTTCCAAAGATGCTCAGACTTGGGTTCTGCTCAGCCTAAAGGGCAAGAGAGAGAGAGAGGACCAGAAATGCCTCTATAACTCAGACATTTTAAACAGTCCAGAGTTGCCTTTTTAAAACCAATCCATGCATAGTTCTTCACCTTTATCTCCATCCTGTTCATTCGAGATCTTCTTCAAGTCTATGAAGTGGGTGGCTAAGGCTACGTCATTCATGCTCCCTTCGTCCCACACCTGGATTTTGACCCTTCGGCAGAGAGGGGGGAACATCTCCTTGAAGACGACCTGCTCGTGCCACACGGGATCGGCGCAATTCTTCTGCACCGTAGTTCGACCCTAAAAT